GATCCCAGGACCCTGGGATCATGACCAGAGCTGAAGGCAGACACTTAATGACTCAGCCACCCAGGTGCCCCTTATTAGATCTTTTAAAGTCGTGTACCTTAAAAGAAGAAAACTGACAGAGTACAAATTAGTAAGAACTTAACCAATATCAGGAGGAAAAAAATCCGAATCTTAAACCATGTTCAGATACCTCTTAGAATCTGATGAAGATGGGGGCGCCTGGGTGGCACAGTTGGTTAAGCGTCCAACTCTTGGTTTTGGCTCAGGTTGTAATCTCAGGGTCATGGGATCGAGCCCCACGCCGGGCTCTGCCCTCAGCGCAGGGTCTGCTTAAGACTCTCTCTCCCTCTCCTTCTGCCCCTCTCCCCCACTGAGCACTCTCTCTCTCTCAAATAAATAAATAAATCTTAAAAAAAAAAGTGATGCAAATAATGCACCATTCATTAATCCTACCTAACCAAATCTTGTTGATCTCTATGAAGTCACACGGCCTCATGTCAACATTTCAAGAAGAACAGATCATTCATGCTCTATGATTACTTCATACATACCTGAAACCACAAATATTTTAATGTATACTCCTTCCTATATTTTCTTATGAAGTTATTGTGAATCTCTCTTCCACTATGGTTTTCAACTGTGTCACACCTGTTATTCTTCACAGCTTCCATTTAGAAAATTTTACTGTAAGGCCTTGATCATGCTGGACATACTTTATCCTTCAAGGTAATGCATTTTTATTTGAAGACAATCTAAGAAACACCCCCCAAACTATTCGTTTCCAAATTCAGTTTTAAAAACCATTACAGATACATTCCAGGAATTTGCCAACCTCCATCATTCATTCCTGCATGAATCAATGGTAGTGAACAGTGTTATGAACTAAGTATTTATGCCCTCTCCCTGATTTATATGTTGAAATCCTACCCCTCAAAGTGATGATATTAGGAATATGGGGTCTTTGGGAAGTAACTGAGATTAGATGAGGTCTTAAGGGCAGAGCCTTCATGAATGGGATTAATGCCTTTATAGGAAGAGTCATGAGAGAGCTTGCTTCTTCTGCTCTGCTCTCTGCCATGTGAAGATATCATGAGGAGCTGGCACGTATACACCTATCCATGTGCACGCACACAGACACACACAAAGGTGTCCTTCGCTGAATTTCGTGAACTCTTGTTGAAAGGTAGGTTGCTCACTTTGGTAAAATAATCCTTTGCAAGAGAGAAGTGCCATAAGATATATAAATTACTGAGATAACCATACATGTGAAAATACAACTTAACTGCTATTTATTGCCAGATGGTAGCATTAGTTATCACACTCTGTGACCTCATGCACACATGTGTACATATACATACATTCATACGACATTAAGAATAGCACCTGCATTTAACATATACTCAGTTACGAAGAACAGTACGTTTGGGGTTAGGATGAAATAGAAAGTGCATCCGTCATTTTTTCTCTATTTTAAAAATTAGGACAATGTTAAAAATTATAAATATTCTTAAATACCTATTTATTTACAGGACATTATGCTAGCAACAGACACTTATAATATGAATAATCCAAACACAATTATTTAGATTGAACAGGCAAACGAATATATACAACTTATGTTTTGGCTCATGTTTATTATCAATCTGTCAACCATTAGTTAAGGTGTTTATAAAAAAAACTGTAGAAATATTAAGAATTGGTTAAATATCGGTCTTTTAGAAAACTTGAACACTGAAAAAATTCTGAATTATAGATACAGTTT